ACGCATCCCGATTGGCCATTTCTCATGCGCCACATCACGTTACTGCAAAAGTGTCTAGACTCCTGGTGGGGTTAAATTTCACAGGCGATATTGATTTTTGATTTTTGACATTCGCATTATGGAGAAATGGTTTCGCATGCCAACTACAATTCAACCATTTATCTTTCTTAGGAGTTCATCAAGATTTCATCTTATGCCAAGGATTTCGGCATTTATTCAAGAGTTTCGTCTTCATTCATTATGTAAATATTTTCGCCAAAATTCTCATTCTCGTTAAGAAAAACAATATCAAAGGACAAAGACTTATACATATTTTACTCCAAAAGCCCCTTCAAATGGAAAACATGAACGAGAAAAGGAGGTTCTAAAAAAGCTTCCAAAATTTCTCAAGGCTACAAGTGTTTTAGGAACAAGAATATTTGAAACTGAAAGTGGCATTGATAAGGTCTATATCCTTGATTATATTACATCCATTTATTTCATACTCTGACTTATAGTTTATATTCGTAGAGTCTGAAACTTCCATATTGCATTCCCAACTTTTATGAATTCCGCACATCAGAAGGGATGTTATTTGCCGATAAGACAATTTACATTAAGTACCTGGAAAGAAGTCATGGAAAATTCAGATATACGTTTCTCCGGCCACGACGCTTCGGAAAATCAGCATTTCTTGCGACATTGTGTTTATATTATGATATTTACCATGCTGAATATTTCAACGATCTATTCGGCCCACTCTACATTGGCAAACATCCTACACAGTGGCACAACAAACACCTCGTTCTGAAGTTTGATCTGTCATCAATTGACATCAGTGGTTCAGTTAGCGAAATGAAAACTAGTTTTCATGACTATATTAATGTAGTGTTAGCCGCATTTGTTATGAAATATTCGAAGGAACTTGGGGACCCACAAATTGATCAAATACTTAATACCAACAACGCTACTGCCTCGCTTAGAAAAGTTTTGGTAAGCTTTTTTTTTTGATATTTTCTATACTTTCAACAATAATCCTTAACTCGCTACAATACATAGTTGCTAGTTAGTGAACATGGACATACTTTATTTGTTGGAGTTGATGAATATGATGCTCCAGCTAATAACCGTGCATTCACAGGCCCAATTATTGGGTTGGACGAAGGTACACTCAAGCATGTTGAGAAAATTGAGATGTTTTTTAAGAGTAGTTTTTTTGCAGTACTTAAAGAAGGATGTGGAAGCATTTGTAATGATCGCGGTTCTGTCATTAGCAAGTACTTTGTAACTGGTGTTACTCCTGCATTTCGCAATGGTATGAGCCCCCTTCATGAAACTGAAATCGTCTCGGGTGATCCTGAGCTGCATGGGGTATGTGGTTTTACCGAAGAGGAAGTTACAACTATAGTTCGGCACTACCTTCGCACAGACAAAGAAGAAACGGACAAAATCATTAATTCCATGCGGAAATTATACAACGGATATTATTTTGTTAACACTGCTTATGACAAGTCCGATCCGCAACCACCTCCTCTATACAACCCACAGTTTGTATTCCATTACATCCGTACGCTTGAAAGCACCGGAGTCGTCACCACGCCTAATGTATATACTGCGGTCCGTTCTACACACATTCTGAAATCTATAGCCGACATTGGAGAATTCTCTGCAGACGATCTTGTCCAGCTAGTTATTTCTGGATTTGTTGAATCAGATATCATTACTGAATTTGGATACGCTGATCTTCTTAATGTTGGAAAGGAAAAGAGCATCACTTGGTCTCTTCTTTTTTACATGGGACTCCTTACTCGTGGTCCAGAAGAAGGAAGTTTACGCATTCCAAATGACATTATCAAAACAGAAGTACCTATCGTTTTTAATATCTTAACAATCAAGAAATATTAGTAATAATGCTTTGTTTGTATAGGTATTTGAGCGAATCGTTAGCTATTTACGCTCTCTTAATGCGATCAACCATCTAATGAGTCCAGCATTTGATAAACTTGTCAATGGTAATGTAAATGCGTTTGTCAAGCTTTTGGAGGTCTTCTTACAAACAAGGACACTGAGGTCGTTACAAACAGCAAATGAGAATGTGCTTCAGGGCATCGTTGAGCTTCTTTTAGACAAACCGACCATGCGTATACCAGAGCTTCGGCTCGTGATTGATGGTTCCAAAAAATATGGCGAAGGTCGTAATGGTTTTGTTGATATTTTTATTCCTCCCCAAGTTATTCGAAGTGTGAGCAAGAGAACTCCTGGCATAATATTAGAATTGAAATATATCACATTGGAAGGCCTATGGAGTGGAGAAACGGCAAATTGGACAAAAGCATCTGATTATGATATATTGACGGAATTTAAGAGTAAGATTCGTAAGGAGGATGAGCAGCATTTACTTGGCAGAAATTACATGTATTGGTCAAATGAGATGAAAAAACCTGTATTGACAACTGTGAGATCTGTTATGGAAAATGCAGTGAAGCAACTCGAAGCGTACATGAATATAGTGCAAAGGGCGAGCCGAAAACATACAATGACTTTGGTGTACTGGATAATAGAATTAAAATTGAAAGAGGATTTGACAACCTACAAGGATATGTTATCATGGCAATTGCAGGTGACCGTGTTCTTGTGCATTCTACAGAACTGATATCAACCTCAAATAAATATCACAGAATGCTGAACTTTTGAATAAATTGCTTAGTGGTACCCGCAAAACATATTATTAAAGTATCGTCAATCACGTTATTTATTACTATAAAAAAGTGTAGATAACATAATAAATAATGTGCAATAATGATAATATATCAAATTTTATTACCAGTTAACTCTGCATAGTGTATTTTTTTCATTAAAAAATAAATACAGTATATATATGTATCGCTCTGTTAAAACAATCCCGTCAAACTGATGTATCTGTTTTTGATATAGTAATTAGACCTCTTAAGTCTGATAACCTTTGAAAACTAAACTAATACAAAACCTGTCTACCATATATATGTAGTACAGAGATACTCTATAAAGAAACGTTATTATAAAAATAGTCAGTTCAGTTCGCGATTTATGCGTGAATGTTATACAAGGTTTTACAAGATTAGTTCTAAATATAAATAGAAAAGTGCTTAACAACTTTATATGGTTCTCGGCCTCGCTTCGCTTGGCCTCATTGCAAACCTGATTCTTTTTTTTACATCAAAAACGTCTTTGACAATTTCTTTATATGATTTTCGGCTTCACTTGGACTTTTTTCAAACTCAATATATATATATACTGCTGAACCTTTCAAGACTGATCCTATCAAAACCGACACTGTAAAAAAAATTATTTGAAAATTTCCATTTTACCTCCTTAATTTCTGTAAAAACTTCGTGAATCTGCAACATGATGTGTAGACTAAATAATTTCCGTCATAAATTCCATAAATATACAACATTTATGGGTAAAACATGGAATATGGAATATAAAACACGGATTAACTTTTTTTATAGGGCGATAACCTATCAAATCTGCTAAAAACTTAATCCACCACATCTGTTTTTGATACATAAATCGTTTATATAATGTTTTCAAATCTGGTAACCTCTTAATACTATTGAACCTTCCAAACTGATACAGGTAGAACAATAAACCTTTCAACAAGTATTCTTTCAAAAATCCTTGGTGTAATATGCAACCTTTCTAAATATCTTCTAAATATTTTTCAACCTTTATATTAAATATGAAAGAGATACGGAAAGAATTTCGATAAGGCTATACAAACTTATATTTTCAGTTTTCATGACCCGGCTGGATCAGCAAAGCAGCAATCCAAACTTTTTATTTTTTTTAATATATCTACCAATAAAAATCCTCTATGCATATAAATGAGACAAAAACAAAGTTGAATTGTCGAGTTCTTGTGAAATAGTGACAGTTTCAGTTTAATCCTTTTTGCATTGATTTATTGTAATATAAGTATATACCGCCTAATCAGTGGCATATTGCACAATGCGTAATTGAATGCATATATCTGACCTTTATGAACTTATTTTATCAGCATTCATATGTATTTTGAACTGAGATTTATTTCAAGAAAGAACCCATTTATATATAATTGTTACATTTAATTCGCCTAGTATAAATCAATGAAACATTAATTAAAATCAGATCGTTATAATGATTAGCTAAATAAAAAAATACAATTAAATAACTGCATGAAGTATAGAAACTTTGTAGATGAAAGAGTCAAAAAATATGATTTTGAGATAATCAAGTTTTGAAATTTAGTATTTATTAGTTAATAATCTCGGGTGATATTCGCTTCGAAATTTACCCAAATCTTATTATTGATTTTTGCACCGAAATTTACTCAAATCTTATGATTGATTTTCGTGCCGAAATTTACCTACTGCAAAAAAATATTTTCTTAATAAGATTTATTATAAAAATTTTTATACTGATTTGTCTTTGGAATGTTTTCAGAAACCAAAAATAATATGTAAATTGTATTAATTATAATTTTAGGTGGTTTTTAGGTGGTTTTAAAAACTTGCATTTCACAAAAACTGCGGCATAAATTTTTACTAATCAAACCTATTTTAATTTATCGTTAGCAGAAAATGTTTTATTTCACTCGTCTATGCTCTTATAAGATGTTATACTTTCTTTTAAGTATCCAATTTTTGGCATAGTATGAAATTTGACTTAATAGTTTTTAAACCATTTCTTTTGTTGTAAGAATATTGTAGACATTAATAAGATCAAGCACCTACACATAAATCTATAGATTTATCAGTTTACCAGTTTCAAATATAATTATATTCTTTTCAAACTTCATTGTATATCGTTGTATTTAGTGTTCCAATCTGGTTGACCTGAATAACTTGATACTGGCATGCTATAATATATTTTATTGCTCAAAGCATGGCGAGGATCCATATGTCTAAGCAAACATGATGATTTGCAGTCAGTGTAACAATACTTAATAGAATAGTATGTTATACATATACATATATTTCACTTCAGACCTATATAAGATTCTGATTTTCTAGTTATATAGATAGCAATCAATATAATAAATAGGTCAGTTTTAGGATATTCATGCCTAACTATTTGGAGCATTAGTTGCATTCAATATTTATAAATTCTATATAAATATATTTTCAAACTTGTCTAATTTTAGAGTAGCTTTCTCTTTAGTATATATATTAGCATTAAGGTTAGTAATTATAGCTAATCAGTATGGTATAGTTTTTAAGATTGATCTTTAGTACAGGTGAGCATATATAATTATTATACAATTATAATATATATAACTTAATTATTGTGTGGAAACTTAGTGAAGTAGTCAAGTTATTATTTCCAAGTGGTATGTCTAGGGTTTGAATCCTGTTGTTGGCAAATCTTTGAATTTTTATCTGTGTTATAGTTATGATTTTCTCTGTTGGAGCTGTGTTATACAGTGTTCATCAAAGTTGAGGATTAGTTTTGTAACCTGGTATTCATCAATTTAATTAAATTAGAGAACCCATAGAGTGTTTGTATAACACACAAGTTATATGAAGGCATGTAAGCTAGCAAATAGTAGTGCAAACCCAAAATAAGTCTTTATGATCAGATAATTCCTGAGAACTTTGGCAAGATTAATTTCCATTTGGTAAGACCCAAGTAGAAAAGTAGTGTAATTTTAAGTGTTTGAGTAAACTCTATAATGCCAGGGTGGTTTGGAAGCAATATAATCTGCCTATAAAAATATAGAATTTATCTGATAAAGAATTCTCCTGTGACTAATTAATAACTGCCAGATTTGTCAATAGAAGAGGTCAGCCCTTCTGGCCATTATACAGTCTGAAGAAAACTAGGTCAGTAGTTGGATAACAGATAAAACAAAGGGCACTAGTCTGGATATTCTCTTTCCTTTCTATAATTAATTATACTTTAAATTAGTTTTTTAATAGAAAATTAAAGAGGGATTTGCTATGTGAAAATGGTTATACAAAATATATAAATAATTAGAATAGTATCACCTTGATACAAAAATTATAACTACCATCATATATATAGCAAAATCAAAAATAAAAAAAACTTAATTATTTTGAACTAATTTAAGTAATTTTATAAATTATTAGTTCAGGATTAAAGTTAGAGTTTAAATTGGCTCAAATTAGTTATGTTTTATATATTATAATCTTGTAATAATTTATATATACCCATTTACACTAAAGAAGATCTATTCTTAATTTCAACCTGTATTATACTAATCTGGTCACTTATATTATACTAATCTTCTGTAATCCTCTTTCTCTTCATTTACTATATATTCAAACAAATTAGCAAAAGTATATACTACATCACCTTGAAATATTTAAGATCTTTACTTAAATTTTGGTTTTAATATTGTACTTTTTTTTTTGGTGTTAAGGTGGGATCTTGCCCATGACTTTATTTATTAATAATACTTTACATGTATCATCACATCT